ATTCAGATCAGATAAACCTATAGTGAACAAAGGTACAAAAACCATAAAGTTCTCTGTTTCTCACAATTTCCCTACGGAGACGAGTGCCGTTTGCAAGCAAATGTCATACCCCAAGCCTTACATTGAACATAATTGGTATCCCTTCATTGTCAATGCCATCTAGCATTGTTTCGTGGCTTGCAACAACCATTGGTTCATGTCCTTGTATTTGTCACTGTCAACTCTCCACAATCCAACTGTGTTAGGTGGTACTCGCAATGCATTCTGTTCCTCGAAATACCCTCTATTTTGGAAGAGAACTCTCCACTGTTAGACAGTGAGCCAGTTATCCATGGTTTCAGCTATTACTTCATTGATTGCTGAATGAAAGCAGATTAAAATATATTAATACAAGATTATCATAAAAACAAATATAACACTAGAACATCACCTATCTGATACAACGAAATCATCTTGTATTATTTCAGCAGAAGTTTTTTATGTCATCTGGTCAGATTGGATATAATCAAGAGGACAAGCCTCACAAATCAATAAGTACAAAGATCCCACCCCAGATGAATCCTAAGTTAATCCGATACTTACAACCAAAAAATGCCTAGTCAAAGTTTACATCTGTTGACTATTACAAAAGATCAAGACAACCCATACGTCAAAAACTCTTTATACCAACTCACACTACAACTAATTTCAGCAGAAGTTATTAGCCATATTATTTGATTTGATACAACGAAATAGATTCGTAAGGCTTGTCCTCTTGATTATATCCAATCTGACCAGATGACATAAAAAACTTCTGCTGAAATAATACAAGGTGATTTCGTTGTATCAGATGGGTGATATTCTAGTGTTATCTTTGTTTTGGTGATAGTCTTGTATTAATCTACTTTCATTCAGCAATCAATGAAGTAATAGCTGAAACCGTGGATAACTGGCTCACTGCCGAACAGTGGAGAGTTCTCTTCCAAAATAGAGGGTATTTCGAGGAACAAAATGCATTGCGAGTACCACCTAACACAGTTGGATTGTGGAGAGTTGACAGTGACAAAAACAAGGACATGAACCAATGAGTTATTGCGAGCCACGGAACAACGGTAGATAGCATTGACAATGAAGAGATACCAATTATGTTCAATGTAAGGCTTGGGGTAGGACATTTGCTCGCAAACTGCACTCTTCTCCGTAGGGAAATTGTGAGAAACAGAGAACTTTATGGTTTTTGTACCTTTGTTCACTATAGGTTTATCTGATTTCGCGCCAAGTTTCGTTTGTCCGACGAAGATGGTCTTAAACTTTTTCAAGGAGAACAACGACGAGAAATAGTGTTGTGTTCGTACCAGCTGCAATTGATTTGACAAGAGTGGCATAGAGAACTCTCATGAAGAATTTGAATGAAATCGTTGCTCTGATGATAAAAAATGTTCTCCCCGGTGAAGCCTGAGAAATCCGCCACGTATCATTAATCAAGTTTTCTCGACTCTAGGTTTGTTCGATTAAGGGTAATCAAATACTTGGTATATGGGATTATATTCGTAGTGTATGGTCCTTTGTACGAGTATTTGTGACAGAAATCTGTTGGCCGTTGTGACAAGTAAGAATGCACTGGTAAAAACAAATCATGCTTGAGAAGTGTGGCCAATGGTTTTGTGATCTTACGCTATGAAGCTACGTTATATAAATCTCGCTGGAAAAATTTAACTTAATCTCGAGCTGGTATTATCTAGAAACCTCTCTTCTATTATAACTCGATTTCTTGATTCTGTTGCGTAAGTCATTTTTAAACCTCCTGGTTGAAAGAATCTTAACGTGTCATGGGTTTGTACAATGGTTGTTTAAAAAATGAAACAGGGAATATGAGTACTCTTGATCTACATTGATTTCAATTCAAAAGTCTTTCAGTCCAAAATAAAGATGTCATTGTTTCAATTTTGATGGACACACAAATATCTTTATAGTTGATAGATCTTAGAAACAATAAACATATTTTATTTATATGCTTATATATATGCAAACTCACATAATCAACCTGCAATAGGATTATATCTTATTTTACTTCCTCTCAACCATGTTATGTGTACAGATTTTGATGCACATTTGAACGAGATCCCATTTTTAATGGAGAATGCAGACAAACACCAACTATCATGTATGAACACAATCACAATTTATATGGTCTTTGCTTGTAAATGGTCTTCAAAGTTGGGTTGCTTATTTTCATTCCAATGGAATCAATTCGAACCTTTCAAGACACAAAAGCTTCATTATATTTTTGCTATCGCAGGGTCATGATCCAGAATAATAGAGTTGGTCTTGAGATAGCAAGTGGAAGCAGGAATTAGCGAAGCATGGGGTCAGATATTCAAACATTGGTTTTGCACTTCCCTTTATCACAAGGATGAGAAAGAAACATTGGTTTAGAGTTAATTATTGTACTACTCAACGCTGGCTGGTTTTCATAAGGTTAAAGTAAGTTGGTTACCTACCATTTGCTTATGTTTGGAAATTTGGCTGTCAAATATTTTAAATGCTTAAGATGATAATACTTCAGTTTGACTGTCTGTAAATTTTAGGTGATTTTGGCCACAAATATAGCGGAGACACTGACTACAATTCATGGAATAAGATACGTAATAGACCTTACGTTTGTTACGACATGAAATTATGATCCAAATCGTCCAATCAAAGGAATGGAGGCGCATGATGTTCCAACATCAAAAGCAGAGACACTTCAAAGAAGGTACCATGTTCTACATTCATTCTTTTGTTCCATTCAAGGTGGTTTAATGGTTCACAAGAATTGGAAGTTTTACCTACAAGTTTATTTGTTTCTCTTTTCGCTTTTACTTTAGTAGCCGTGTGCAAGATGTGAGGGTCCTGCCTTCCAGTTCACAATAATTGCCTTCCAGTTCCATGATTTTTCGCATACATATTTCTGCTGAAAATTTTCTACAGCTTTTGGTGAATATTACACAAAAAATTTCTCCCGGATCTAACACCATAAATTTACACACCACAGTTTTTAGAATTTTAATCGACAAAAAATCCACGCGTATGCGCGGGTATTAACCTAGTAATGTATTTGATTAGAGCTGAGTAAGTTATAAAATTTGTACATTAGTTCACTTGTATCTCTGTGAATCTTTTTCAGCCTCTTTATGGCGTTCTTTAATTTAGCCAATCATCAGTTTTTTGTATTTGATATTTTTTCGTCTGTTTTTATAATGTTAATATTTTATGGAGATGCAAATTTTATATTTAGACTATTTAGGATAAAGAGGTGGGTAAAAGTATAGATTCTATTTTTTGTTCTGGCTAATCGTCTATTTGGATTTTCTCTTCGAGGTTTTTCTTTGTCTTGACGACGATTGGTGAGCTTTGTAGATTCGCATATGCTGCTCTTTTCGCACTATCCATTATTTGTGAATGTCTCTTTCATATTCATGTTTAGTGGTAATTATGAATTCTAGATATCCGTATTTTTTTTTTGGATTATGTTTTCTGATAATGATAAGGGAATTTGTACAGTGAAGAATCCATATATGTATTGATAGAGATACGAATCAATGTTCTCGAAGAAGAAAGAAACGATACAAGCTCAAAAGAGCGATTCTTCTGGAAATTCCAGAGAAGAACAAAGTCT